GGGGGACCCCAAAAAATCCCCAAATCCGGGGGAGACCCCGAGGCTGAGACAGCTCCAGGGATGGGATCCCAAAGAAAAGCCCAAAAGTTGGGTCAGAGCCCCCAAAAATCCCCAAATTGGGGGAAATCCCAAACCTGACACAGATCCCGGTGAAGGGATCCCAAAGAAAAGCCCAGGGTTGGGGTCAGAACCCCCAAAAAATCCCTAAATTGGGGGAGACCCCAAACCTGACACAGCTCCAGGGATGGGATCCCAAAGAAAAGCCCAGGGTTGGGTCAGAGCCCCCCAAAATCCCCAAATTGGGGGAAATCCCAAACCTGACACAGCTCCCAGGGAAGGGATCCCAAAGAAGAGCCCAGAGTTGGGTCAGAGCCCCCAAAATCCCCAAACTGGGGGGAGACCCCAAACCTGAGACAACTCCAGTGAAGGGATCCCAAAGAAATGCCCAGGGTGGGGTCAGAGCCCCCAAAAATCCCCAAATTGGGGAAATCCCAAACCTGAGACAGCTCCAGGGATGGGATCCCAAAGAAGAGCCCAGAGTCAGAACCACCCCAGACCCCCCAAAATCCCCAAATTGGGGGAAATCCCAAACCTGAGACAGCTCCAGGGATGGGATCCCAAAGAAAAGCCCAGAGTTGGGTCAGAGCCACCCCAGACCCCCAAAATCCCCAAATTGGGGGAAATCCCAAGCCCAGGACAGCTCCCAGGGATGGGATCCCAAAGAAGAGCCCAGGGTTGGGTCAGAGCCACCCCACAGAGCCCCTGCCAGGGGAGAGACCCCAAAGAAAGCCCAAAACGTCCCCTGGGCTCAGAGGCTGTGGCCAAAACCTCCAAAAATCTCATCAAGCCCGCCCCAGCAAAATCCCAGCAAAGCTGCCCCAAAATTGGGTAAAACCCCCCAGAAAATCCCATCAAAGTCTCCCCAAAATTGGGTCAAACCCCTCCAAAAAATCCCATTAAAGTTCTCCCAATTTGGGTCAAACCCCCCCAAAAAATCCATTAAAGTTCTCCCAAAATTCAGGTCAAACCCCCCCTCCCCCCAAAAAAAAAAATCCAATTAAAGTCTCCCAAAATTGGGTCAAACCCCCCAAAAAATCCAATTAAAGTCTCCCCAAAATTCAGGTCAAACCCCCCCAAAAAATCCCATTAAAGTTCTCCCCAAATTGGGTCAAACCCCCCCTAAAAAACCAAATAAAATCCCCTCAAATTGGGTCAAACCCCCCAAAAAATCCAATTAAAGTCTCCCCAAAATTGGATCAAACCCCCCAAAAAATCCAATTAAATTCCCCCCAAATTGAGTCAAACCCCCCAAAAAAATCCCATTAAAGTCTTCCCAAAATTGGCCCAAATTCAGGTCAACCCCCCCCCAAAAGAATCCCATTAAAGTCTCCCCCAAAATTCAGGTCAAACCCCCCCAAAAAATCCCATTTAAGTTCTCCCCAAATTGGGTCAAACCCCCCAAAAAAAACAAATAAAGTCCCTCCAAAATTCAGGTCAATCCCCCAAAAAATCCCATCAAAGTCTCCCCAAATTGGATCAAACCCCTCAAAAATCCCATTAAAGTCCCCCCAAATTTGGTCAAACCCCCCCAAAAATCCCATCAAAGTCCCCCCAAATTGGGTCAAACCCCCCAAAAAATCCCATTTAAGTCCCCCCAAAATTGGATCCAACCCCCCCAAAAAATCCCATTAAAGTTCTCCCAAATTGGGTCAAAACCCTCAAAAAATCCCATCAAAGTCCCCCCAAAATTGGGTCAAACACCCCAAAAAATCCCATTAAAGTCTTCCCAAAATTGGGTCAAACCCCCCCAAAAAAAATCCCATTAAAGTTCTCCCAAATTGGATCAAACCCCCCAAAAAAACCAAATAAAGTCTCCCCAAATTGGATCAAACCCCCCAAAAAAAACCAAATAAAATCCCTTCAAATCTGGTTAAAACCCCCCAAAAAATCCCATTAAAGGCCCCCCCAAAATTCAGGTCAATCCCCCCCAATCCCATCAAAGCCCCCCCACTTTGGTCTGGGCCCCCCAAACCCCCCCTGGGGGGGCTCCCCCCCCCCCCGTCCTGCCCCACTCGAGGCACCCCCAAATTCCCCCCCCCCCCCCCCCATTTTTGGGGGTCCCTCCAGGATCCCCCCCCCCCCCCCAGGCTGTGCCCGATGAGCAGCGGGCGAAGCCCCCCCCGAGCCCCCCCAAATCCCCCCCCGCGTGACGCCCCCCCCCAAAAACCCCCCCGGGGTGGGGAGGGGCCGAGACCCCCCCTCAGTGAGGGGGGGTTGGGGGGAACCCCCCAGAAATGGGGCAATAAAATCAGATTTCAGACAAATCCGGGGCTGTTTATTCAGGGGGGAGGGCCCCAAAATCCTGGGGGGGGGTTTGGGGTTCCCCAGGGGGGTTTTGGGGTTCCAGGGGGATGTTTTGGGGTTCCAGGGGGGTTTTGGGGTGCTCCCCCCCCACCTGATCCAGTTCATTCTGGGGATGCAGGGAGGGGATTCCCAAGGAACATTTGGGGTTTTTGGGGGGGGTTTTGGGGTCCCCCATGGATTGAGGCTCCAGGGGGGTTTTGGGGTTCCATAGGAGGAGTTTTGGGGTTCCCTGGGGGGTTTTGGGGTCCCATGGGGTGATTTTGGGGTGCTCCCCCCCCCGCCAAATGATCCAAATCCCCTCTATGGATCCAGGGAGGAGATTCCCAGGGAACATTTTGGGATTTTTGGGGTCCCCCATGGATTGAGGCTCCAGGGGGGTTTTGGGGTTCCCCAGGGGGTTTTTGGGTTCCATGTGGTGATTTTGGGGTGCTTCCCCCCCACCTGATCCAGTTCATTCTGTGGATCCAGGGAGGGAATTCCCAGGGAACATTTGGGGATTTTTGGGGGGTTTTGGGGTCCCCCATGGATTGAGACTCCTGGGGGGTTTTGGGGTTCCCCCGGGGGTGATTTGGGGTCCCATGGAGGGGTTTTGGGGTCCCATGGGGTGATTTTTGGGGTGCTCCCCCCCCACCTGATCCAATCCCAGCTGTGGATGCAGGGAGGGAATTCCCAGAGGAACTTTTGGGGGTCCCAATGCCCAAAACCCCAGGTTGAGGCTCCAGGGGGGTTTGGGGGTGATTTTGGGGTCCCATGGGGGGTTTTGGGGTTCCATGGGGTGATTTTGGGGGTGCTTCCCCCCCACCTGATCCAGTTCATTCTGTGGATCCAGGGAGGAGATTCCCAGGGAACATTTGGGGATTTTTTTGGGGGTCCCAATGCCCAAAACCCCAGGTTGAGGCTCCAGGGGGGGTTCGGGGGGGTCCTGTGGGTGATTTTTGGGGTTCCCCAGGGGGGGTTTTGGGGTTCCCTGGGGGGGTTTGGGGTTCCCCAGGGGGGGGTTTTGGGGGTCCCATGAGGGGGTTTTGGGGTGCTCCCCCCCCACCTGATCCAGTTCATTCTGTGGATGCAGGGAGGAGATTCCCAGGGAACATTTGGGGTTTTTGGGGGGTTTTGGGGGTCCCCCATGGATTGAGGCTCCAGGGGGGTTTTGGGGTTCCCCAGGGGGTGATTTGGGGTCCCATGGGGGTTTTGGGGTTCCCTGGGGGGGTTTTGGGGTTCCATGGGTGGTTTTGGGGTGCTCCCCCCCCAACCTGATCCAATCCCTGCTGTGGATGCAGGGAGGAGATTCCCAGAGGAACATTTGGGGTTTTTTGGGGGGGTCCCAACGCCCAAAACCCCAGTTGAGGCTCCAGGGGGGTTCGGGGGGGTCCTGGGGGTGATTTTGGGGTTCCCCAGGGGGGTTTTGGTGTTCCCAGGGGGATTTTGGGGTCCCCAGGGGGGTTTTGGGGTTCCCCAGGGGGTTTTGGGGTTCCAGGGGGGTTTTGGGGGTTCCATGGGGTGATTTTGGGGGTGCTCCCCCCCCACCTGATCCAGTTCATTCTGTGGATGCAGGGAGGGAATTCCCAAGGAACATTTGGGGTTTTTCTGGAGTCCCAACCCCCAAAACCCCAGGTTGAGGCTCCAGGGGGGTCTGGGGGGCTCCTGGGGGTGATTTTGGGGTTCCCCAGGGGGGTTTGGGGTTCCCCATGGGGGGTTTTGGTGGTCCCATGGGGAGATTTTGGGGTGCTCCCCCTGCACCTGATCCAATCCCTGCTGTGGATCCAGGGAGGAGATTCCCAGGGAACATTTGGGGTTTTTTGGGGGATTTTGGGGGTCCCCCCATGGATTGTGGACTCCAGGGGAGTTTTGGGGTCCCATGGGGGGTTTTGGGGTTCCCTGGGGGGTTTTGGGGTCCCATGGGGGGATTTTGGGGCGCTCCCCCCCCCACCCGATCCAGTTCATCCTGTGGATGCAGGGAGGAGATTCCCAAAGGAACATTTGGGGTTTTTGGGGGGGTTTTGGGGTCCCCCATGGATTGAGGCTCCTGGGGGGTTTTGGGGTCCCATGGGGGGGTTTTGGGGTTCCAGGGGAGTTTTGGGGCACCCCTGGGGTGATTTTGGGGTGCACCAGAGGTGGTTTTGGGGGTGCCTCCAGGGGGTTTTGGGGCATCCCCTGGGGGTGTTTTTGAGGTGTCCCGGGGGTAATTTTGGGGTGCCCAGGGGGATTTTTGGGGTGCCCGGGGGGTGGATTTTGGGGTTCACCAGAGGGTGATTGTGGGGTGCCTCCAGGGATGATTTCGGGGCCCCTGGGGGTGTTTTTGGCGGTTTTGGGGGGGCCCTCGTGGGGGTGATTTTGGGGTGCTCCCAGGGGTGTTTTTGGGGTACCCTGGGGCAGTTTTTGGGGTGCCCCTGGGATGATTTTGGGGTTGCAGGGGAACTGGTTTTGGGGTCCTGTGCAGCTGTTTTTGGGGTGCCCCCAGGGGGTGGTTTTGGGTGTCCCTGGGGGTGATTTTGAGATGTCCGAGGGTGATTTTGGGGTTGCCCTCGGGGCCATTTATGGGGTGCTGTGGGGCCGTTTTTGGGGTGCCCCTGGGGCTGGTTTTGGGGGTGTTTGGTGGGGCCTGGTTTTGGGGTGCATGGGGGCAGTTTTTGGGGCAGTTTTGGGGGCTGTTTATGGGTCTAATTTTGGGGTGCTCTGGGGTTGTTTCTGGGGTTCTGGGGGCTGTTTTTGGGGTGCAGGGGGGCAGTTTTGGGGCTGTTTATGGGGCTGGTTTTGGGGCAGTTTTGGGGCTGTTTATGGGTCTAATTTTGGGGTGTCCCCGGGGTTGTTTCTGGGGTTTGGGGGGGCTGTTTTTGGGGCGCAGGGGGGCAGTTTTGGGGCAGTTTTTGGGGCTGTTTATGGGGCAGTTTTTGGGGTGCTCCAGGGGGCTGTTTTTGGGGCTGTTTATGGGTCTATTTTTGGGGTGCTCTGGGGTTGTTTTTGGGGTTCTGGGGGGCTGTTTATGGGTCTATTTTTGGGGTGCTCCGGGGCTGTTTTTGGGGGTTCCGGGGGGCCGTTTTTGGGGCGCAGGGGGGCAGTTTTGGGGCTGTTTATGGGTCTAATTTCGGGGTGCTCCGGGGCTGTTTTTGGGGTTCCGGGGGGCAGTTTTGGGGCTGGTTTTGGGGTTCCAGGGGGCAGTTTTGGGGCTGTTTTTGGGGCACAGGGGGGGCAGTTTTGGGGCAGTCTTGGGGCTGTTTCTGGGTCTATTTTTGGGGTGTTTGTGGGGCTGTTTTTGGGGTTCCAGGGGGCAGTTTTGGGGCTTGTTTTTGGGGCTGTTTTTGGGGCGCAGGGGGGCAGTTTTGGGGCTGTTTTTGGGGTTCCAGGGGGCAGTTTTGGCCCCTCACATGATGCAGGTCCATGACGTGGATCTGCAGCGTGTCCATGTCCGGGGCCTTGTACTGGCACTTGGGGCAGCACAGCTCGGGCCCCTCCTCGGGGGGGGGCAGGAGCCCCCCAAAACCTGCGGGGGATGGGGGAGGGGCGCGGTCAGACCCTGCCCCGCCCCCCCCAGGGGGGGTTTGGGGGTCCCGGCCCCTCCCCCCCCCCCCCCCTCTGTACTCACCCCCCCCCGGGGCCGGGGCCGGCTCCGAGTGCCGGTTCCGCATCTCCTCCAGACGGGCCCTGAAAAGGGAATTTGGGGCATTTTGGGGGGATTTGGGGGCATTTGGGGGGATTTGGGGAGTTTAGGGGAATTTGGGGGGGTTGGGGGAGAGATTTGGTGGGATTTGGGTGGGTTTTGAGGGGATTTTGGGAAGGTTTTGGGGGGGTTTTGGGGGAGGGATTTAAGGGGGTTTTGGGGGGTTTTGAGAGGATTTTGGGGGGGGTTGGTTGGGGGTTTTCAGGGGATTTTGGGGGATTTGGGGGGTCTGTGAGGGATTTGGGAGGGATTTGGGAAGGTTTGGGGCGTCTGTGAGGGATCTTGGGGGGTTTGGGGGTTCTGTGAGGGATTTGGGAGGGATTTGGGGGATTTGGGGGGTCTGTGAGGGATTTGGGAGGGTTTTGGGGGATTTGGGGGATTTGGGGGGTCTGTGAGGGTTTGGGGGTTCTGTGAGGGATTTGGGAGGGATTTGGGGGTGTTTTGGTGAGGGCTTGAGGGGTTTCGGGGGGATTTGGGGGAATTAGGGGGGGATTTGGTGGGATTTTGGAGGGATTGGGGAGGTTTTGAGGGGATTTGGGGGGGGGTTGTGGGGTCTGGGAGGATTTGGGGGTTTTGGGTGGGTTGGGGGGTTCAGGGGAGTTTGGAAGGGGTTTTGGGGGGGATTTGGGGGGTTTGAGGGGATTTGGGGGGATTCTGGGGGATCTGGAGGAGGATTTGGGGTGTTTTGTGGGTATTTTGGGGGTGGTTTTGGGGTGGTTCCAGTGTAATTTTAGGGTATGCCACGGTGGTTTTGGGCTCTTTTTGGGGTAGTTTGGGGCTGTTTTGGGGGTGTTTGGGGATGGTTTTGGGGTGTTTGGGGATGGTTTTGGGGTGTTTTTTGGCGCGTTTTGGGCTGTTTTCGGCTGGTTTTGAGTTGGTTTTGGGCTGGTTTTGGCTGGTTTTTGGGCTCGTTCTGGGCTGGTTTTGGGCGGGTTTTTGGGCTGGTTTTGGGCTGTTTTTTGGCATTTTTGGCTGTTTTGGGGCTGGTTTTGGGTGTTTTGGGCTGGTTTTGGGTATTTTTGGCTGGTTTTTGGGCTGTTTTTTGGCTGGTTTTGGGCTGTTTTTGGGGCTGTTTTTTGGCTGGTTTTGGGGGCTGTTTTTGGGGCTGGTTTTGGGGCTGTTTTGGGCTGGTTTTGGGCTGGTTTTGGAGCTGTTTTTGGGCTGGTTTTCAGGTGGTTTTTGTGGTGTTTTTTGGCTGGTTTTGGCTGTTTTTGGGTATTTTTGGCTGGTCTTGGCTGGTTTTGGGTATTTTTGGCTGTTTTTTGGCTGGTTTTGGGCTGGTTTTGGGCTGTTTCTGGGCTGTTTTTTGGCTGGTTTTGGCTGGTTTTTGGCTGGTTTTGGGGTATTTTTGGCTGGGTTTTGGCTATTTTTCAGGTGGTTTTGGCTGTTTTTTGGCTGGTTTTGGGTATTTTTGGGCTGGTTTTGGGTATTTTTGGCTGTTTCTGGGCTGTTTTTGGCTGTTTTTGGGGCTATTTTTGGGTGTCGGTGCCGTACCGGGCCCCGTCCCCGCCCAGCCGCTGCCTGAGCTGGTTCAGCTCCTCCTGCAGGGCCTCGCGCTGCCCGTGCAGCTCCTCCCGCGCCGCGCGCTCGGCCTCGAAATCCGCACGGTAAATGTCGGCCTGGGGGGGGGGAACCCCAAAATCCAACCAGGGAACCCCAAAATGCAAACAGGGAACCCCAAAATCCAAACAGGGAACCCCAAAATCCACCCCAAAATCCAACCAGGGAACCCCAAAATCCAACCAGGAACCCCAAAATCCAAACAGGGAACCCCAAAATCCAACCAGGGAACCCCAAAATCCACCCCAAAATCCAAACAGGGAACCCCAAAATCCAAACAGGGAACCCCAAAATCCAACCGGGAACCCCAAAATCCAACCAGGGAACCCCAAAATGCAACCGGGAACCCCAAAATCCAACCGGGAACCCCAAAATCCAAACAGGAAACCCCAAAATCCAAACAGGGAAGCCCAAAATCCAACCGGGAACCCCAAAACCCAACCAGGAAACCCCAAAATCCAAACAGGGAAGCCCAAAATCCAACCAGGGAACCCCAAAATCCAACTGGGAACCCCAAAATCCACCCCAAAATCCAACCGGGAACCCCAAAATCCAACCGGGAACCCCAAAATCCAAACAGGGAACCCCAAAATCCAAACAGGGAACCCAAAAATCCACCCCAAACCCAACCAGGGAACCCCAAAATGCAACCGGGAACCCCAAAATGCAACCAGGAACCCCAAAATCCACCCCAAAATCCAAACAGGGAACCCCAAAATCCACCCCAAATCCACCCAAACCCCCTCAGTGCTGCACGCTCGGCCTCGAAATCTGCTCGGTAAATGTCGGCCGGGGGGGGGGGAACCCCAAAATGCAACAGGGAACCCCAAAATCCAACCAGGGAACCCCAAAATCCAAACAGGGAACCCCAAAATGCGAACAGGGAACCCCAAAATACATCCAGGGAACCCCAAAATCCACCCCAAACCCAACCACGGAACCCCAAAATCCACCCAGAATCCACTCAAATCCCAACCAGGGAACCCCAAACCAAATCAGGGAACCCCAAAATCCACCCAAAATCTACCCAAAATCCAACTGGGGAACCCCAAATCCAGCCAAATCCACCCCAAACCCAACCAGGGAACCCCAAATCCAACCAGAGAAACTCCCAAATAAGGGAACCTGAGTCCCCCCAGCCCCACCTGCGCCTGCAGCACCGGGATGGTCCCAGGAGCCCCCCAGGAGCCCCCCAGGATCTCCCCCAGGAGCCCCCCCAGGATCCCCCAGCCCCACCTGTGCCTGCAGCACCGGGAGGGTCCCAGGAGCCCCCCAGGATCCCCAGGAGCCCCCCAGGAGCCCCCCAAGGTCCCCAGGATCTCCCCCTGGGCCCCACCTGCGCCTGCAGCACCGGGATGGTCCCAGCAGCCCCCCATGATCCCCAGGAGCTCCCCAGGAGCCCCCCAGGATCCCCCCAGCCCCCCCAGGATCTCCCCCAGGTCCCCACCTGTGCCTGCAGCACCGGGATGGTCCCCAGGGCCCCCCCAGCCCCCCCAGCCCCCCCAGGGCCCCACCTGAGCCCCCCCAGGATCTCCCCCAGCCCCACCTGTGCCTGCAGCACCGGGATGGTCCCAGGAGCCCCCCATGATCCCCAGGATCCCCCCAGGATCTCCCCAGGTCCCCACCTGGGCCTGCAGCACCGGGATGGTCCCCAGGGCCCCCCCAGGATCCCCAGGATCCCCCCAGGAGCCCCCCAGGAGCCCCCAGCCCCCTGGGCCCCCCCAGCCCCACCTGTGCCTGCAGCACCGGGATGGTCTCCAGCAGCCCCCCAGGATCCCCAGGAGCCCCCCAGGATCCCCAGGAGCCCCCCAGGAGCCCCCCAAGGTCCCCATGATCCCCTGGGCCCCACCTGAGCCTGCAGCACCGGGATGGTCTCCAGCAGCCCCCGCTGGCTCTCGGCCTCGGCCTTGAGGCGGTCGATGAGCTCCTGCTTGAGAGCCAGAGCGGCCTCGGCTGCACGGAGCTGCTCCTGCGCCACCTGCACGGGGACACCGGGGACACCTCAGACACCTGGGACACCTGAGACACCTCAGAGAGCACCTGGGACACCTGGGACAGCACCTGGGACACCTCAGAGAGCACCTGGGACACCGGGGACACCTGGGACACCTGTGACACCCCCCCACTGCACCCCCAGCTGCTCCTGCGCCACCTGCACGGGGACACCGGGGACACCTGAGATACCTGGGACAGCACCTGGGACACCTGGGACACCTGAGATACCTGAGAGAGCACCTGGGACACCTGAGAGAGCACCTGTGACACCTGGAACACCGGGGACACCTGAGATACCTGGGACAGCACCTGGGACACCTCAGAGAGCACCTGGGACACCTGGGACACCTGGGACAGCTGAGATACCTGGGACATCTGGGACACCTGAGATACCTGAGAGAGCACCTGGGACACCTGAGAGAGCACCTGGGACACCGGGGACACCTGGGACAGCACCGGGGACACCTGGGACACCTGGGACACCTGAGATACCTGTGACACCACCAGGGACAGCACCTGGGACACCGGGGACACCTGGGACAGCTCGGACACCTCAGAGAGCATCGGGGACACCTGGGACACCTGAGATACCTGAGAGAGCACCTGGGACACCGGGGACACCTGGGACAGCACCGGGGACACCTGGGATACCTGTTACACCTGAGAGAGCACCTGGGACAGCACCGGGGACAGCACCTGGGACACCTGGGACAGCTGGGACAGCTGGGACAGCACTTGGGACACCTGAGAGAGCACCTGGGACACCGGGGACACCTGGGACACCTCAGAGAGCACCGGGGACACCGGGGACACCTGAGAGAGCATCTGGGACACCTGTGACACCGGGGACACCTGGGACAGCTGGGACACCCCCCCCCCCACTGCACCCCCAGCTGCTCCTGGGTCACCTGGGGGTGACAATGACACCTGGGGCACACCTGGCTGTCACCCCTGTCACCCCCTGACCCTCACCTGCACGCTCCTGTGACACCCAGGGCAGTGCAGTGACACATGGGGGTCACCTGTGCCACCTGACAAATCACCTGTGTCACCTGGGGGTCACCTGTGTCACCTGGGGGTCACCTGTGCCACCCAAGGGATCACCTGTGTCACCCCTGGCCCTCACCTGCATGCTCCTGTGCCACCTGGGGCACTACAGTGACACTTGGGGGTCACCTGTGTCACCCCTGGCCCTCACCTGCACACTCCTGTGCCACCCACGGCAGTGCAGTGACACCTGGGGGTCACCTGTGTCACCCCCAGGTCCCCAAGTGCAGCTGAGCCACCTGCAGGGGAACAGTGGCACCCTGGGGGTGACACCTGTGTCACCTGAGGGTCACCTGTGACACCTGGGGGTTGCTGCAGTGTCACCTGGGGGTCACCTGTGCCACGTGGTGGTGGCACTGTCACCTGGGGACTCACCTGAGGGCACCTGAACCCCCCGAGGGGCCGCAGGGACATTCCAGGTGTCCCCAGGAGGGGATGGGGACAAGGGGACAAGGGGCTGCCCCGAGGCCCCCAAGGGAGGGGACGTGACCCTCCCTGTCCCTGGGTGTCCCCAGTGTCCCCAGGTGTCCCCAGGTGTCCCCAGGTGTCCCCGAGTGTCCCCTGTGCTCACCTGGCTCCGTTTGTCCCCCTCCAGGCTGCTCTTGATGTGGGCGTCGTACTCCTGGAACAGGTGATGGTAGGCGGCCTGCAGCTGCACCAGCTTCCGCCTGGGGGGACATTGGGGACATTGAGGGGACATTGGGGACACTGGGGACAGTGGGGACAGTGGGGACAATGGGGACAGGTGGCCTGCAGCTGCACCAGCTTCCGCCTGGAGGGACATTGGGGACATCGATTGGGGACACTGGGGACACTGGGGACATTGGGGACAGTGCGGATTTCAGGGACATCGGGGACATCCATTGGGGACATCCATTGGGGACATTGATTGGGGACATTGGGGGCATTGGGGACATTGACAGGACACTGGGGACATTGATTGGGGACACTGGGGACATTGAGGGGACATTGAGGGGACATTGACTGGGGACATTGAGGGGACATTGATTTGGGAACATTGATTGGGGACATTGATGAGCCATTGAAGGGACATTGGGGACATTGAAGGGACAGTGGGGACATTGATTGGGGACATTGGGGACAGGTGGCCTGCAGCTGCAGCAGCTTCCACCTGGGACAGTGGGGACATCAATGGGGGACATTGGGGACATTGACTGGGGATAATGGGGACACTGGGGACACTGGGGACATTGCGAGTGCCACTGCCTCCCCGTGTCCCCTCATGGGGACGGGTGGCCTCGAGCGCCACCAACTCCCACGGGGACACTGGGGACAGCGAGGGGACAGTGGGGACACCAATGGGTGTCCCCAGGTGCCACCCCCGCCCATGTCCCCAATGTTGTCACTCACTCCCCCCATTGTCCCCATTGTCCCCAATGTCCCCATTGTCACTCACTCCCCCATTGTCCCCATTGTCCCCATGTCCCCAATATCCCCATTGTCACTCACTCCCCTGGTGTCCCCATTGTCCCCATTGTCCCCATTGTCCCCGTTGTTGTCACTCACTCCCCCCATTGTCCCCACTGTCCCCATTGTCCCCGTTGCTGTCACTCACTCCCCCCATTGTCCCCATTGTCCCCATTGTCCCCAATGTCCCTCACTCCCCCCATTGTCCCCACTGTCCCCATTGTCCCCATTGTCCCTGTTGTTGTCACTCACTCCCCTGGTGTCCCCAATGTCCCCATTGTCCCCATTGTCCCCATTGTCCCCACTGTCCCCGTTGTTGTCACTCACTTCTCCTCGGTGGCCCCGCGCCGCTCCACCCTCAGGGCGGTTTCCAGGTTGGTCACCTGGAGCCGGAGCTGGTCCAGCTGCACCTGGTGGCCCTGGGCCACCTCCTCCAGCTGCTGGCACCGCTCGGCGTCACCGCGGGCCCTGGGCACCAAAGGGACACCCATTGTCACCCAGTGTCACCCTGTGCCATCCCAGTGTCACCCTGAGCCACCCTGAGCCACCTCCTCCAGCTGCTGGCACCGCTCGGCGTCACCGCGGGCCCTGGGACACCACAGGGACACCCCAATGTCACCCAGTGTAACCCATTGTCATCCCAGTGTCACCTCCCTGAGCCAGTGGCACCGCTCAGCGTTCCCTGGGCCCTGTGACACCCCACTGTCACCCAGTGCCACCCATGTCACCTGTGCAGGTGTCACCCCCACCTGTGCTCCAGGTGCTCCCGCTCCGTGGCTCTGCTGTGCTGACTCCGCCCCTCGGGGACAGCCCCTGACCCCAGGTGTCCCCCCAGGTGTCCCTCCAGGTGTCCCTCCATGTCCCACAAGGTGTCCCCAGGCGTCCCCAGGTGTCCCATGTCCCCCAAGGTGTCCCCCCATGTTCCCCCCATGTCCCTCCAGGTGTCCCCATGTCCCCACCTGCGCGCCAGGTGCTCTCTCTCTGCCCAGCTCTGTGGTGCTGTCCCTGATCCCCAGGTGTCCCCCCCATGTCCCCAGGTGTCCCCATGTCCCCCCAGGTGTCCCCACCTGCGCTCCAGGTGCTCTCTCTCTGCCCGGCTCTGTGGTGGTGTCCCTGTGTCCCCCCCAGGTCCCCCCATGTCCCCCCAGGTGTCCCCACCTGCGCTCCAGGTGCTCTCTCTCTGCCCGGCTCTGCAGTGGTGTCCCTGATCCCCAGGTGTCCCCCCATGTCCCCAGGTGTCCCCAGGTGTCCCCATGTCCCCCCATGTGTCCCCACCTGCGCTCCAGGTGCTCTCTCTCTGCCCAGCTCTACAGTGGTGTCCCTGATCCCCAGGTGTCCCCAGGTGTCCCCAGGTGTCCCCATGTCCCCCCAGGTGTCCCCACCTGCGCTCCAGGTGCTCTCTCTCTGCCCGGCTCTGTGCTGTCCCCGTGTCCCCCCATGTCCCCCCAGGTGTCCCCAGGTGTCCCCACCTGCGCTCCAGGTGCTCTCTCTCTGCCCGGCTCCTCTCCAGGCGATTTTGGCTCTCCCGGAGCTCCCCCAGCAGCGACGTCACCTGGGCCTGGACCTGGGCCTTGTCCTGCTGGGGACGGGGACGGGGACAGGGACAGGGACAGGGACAGGGACAGGGATGGGGACAGGGACGGGGACAGGGACACTGTCATCCCCTGTGTCCTGCTGGGGACAGGGACAGGGACAGGGACAGGGACAGGGACACCGTCACCCCCTGTGTCCTGCTGGGGACAGGGACAGGGACAGGGACAGGGACACTGTCACCCCCTGTGGCACCTAGGGACAGGGACAGGGATGGGGACAGGGACAGGGACAGGGACACCGTCACCTCCTGTGTCCTGCTGGGGATGGGGACAGGGACAGGGACACTGTCACCCCCTGTGGCACCTGGGGACAGGGACAGGGACAGGGTCACCCCCTGTGTCCTGCTGGGGACAGGGACAGGGACACCGTCACCCGCTGTGTATCCCCAGCTATCCCCAGGTGTGTCGGGTGTCCCCACCTGTCCCCAGTGTCCCCACTTGTCCCCATGTGCCTGGGGCTGTCCCCAGGTGCTCTCATGTCCACAGGGATGTCCCTGGTGTCCCCAGCTGTCCCCAGCTGTCCCCAGCTGTCCCCTGTCCCCTGCTATTTCCAGCTTGTCCCCATGTCCCCATGTCTGTCCCCCAGCTGTCCTCAGGGCATTCCCTATGTCCACAGGTCTTTCCCCGTGTCCCCATGTGTCCCCAGTGTCCCCTGTCCCCAGCTGTCCCCAGCTGTCCCCAGGTGTCCCCATGTCCCCTCTCCCTGGTATGTCCAGCTGGGTCCCTCAGTGTCCCCAATGTCTCCATGTGTCCCTCCAGCTGTCCCCATATCCCCAGCTGTCCCCAGTGTTCCCATGTGTCCCCATGTGTCCCCATGTCCCCAGTGTCCCCATGTGTCCCCAGTGTCCCCCAGTGTCCCCATGTCCCCAGTGTCCCCATGTGTCCCCAGTGTCCCCCAGTGTCCCCATGTCCCCAGCTGTTCCCATGTCCCCGGTACCCCCAGCTGTCCCCAGTGTCCCCAGTGTCCCCATGTCCCCGGTACCTCCAGCTGTCCCCAGTGTCCCCCATGTCCCCATGTCCCCCCATGTCCCCATGTGTCCCCATGTCCCCGGTACCTCCAGCTGTCCCCAGTGTCCCCAGTGTCCCCATGTCCCCGGTACCTCCAGCTGTCGGCGCAGTCCCTGCAGCTGCAGCTCGGCCGCGCGGGAAACGTCCTGGGCCTGGAGCTCGGCCACGGCCACGCGGGAGCGCAGGGCCACCAGCCTGGGACAGTGACACCAATGGCACCCAATGTCACCAATGGCACCCAATGGCACCAAACCCACCCCACGCGGGAGCGCAGGGCCACCAGCCTGGGGCAGTGACACCAATGTCACCAAATGTCACCAATGGCACCAAACCCTGCCCAACGCCACCCGCAGGGCCACCAGCCTGGGACAGTGACACCAATGTCACCAATGCCACCAGCCTGGGACAGTGACACCAATGTCACCAATGCCACCAGGGTCACCCAACGCCACCCGCAGGGCCACCAGCCTGGGACAGTGACACCAGGGTCACCAAATGTCACCAATGGCACCCAATGCCACCCGCAGGGCCACCAGCCTGGGACAGTGACACCAATGTCACCAAATGTCACCAGGGTCACCCAATGGCACCAAACCCTCCCCACGCGGGAGCGCAGGGCCACCAGCCTGGGACAGTGACACCAATGTCACCAAATGTCACCAATGGCACCCAATGGCACCCGCAGGGCCACCAGCCTGGGACAGTGACACCAATGTCACCAAATGCCACCAATGCCACCAAACCCTGCCCAACGCCACCCGCAGGGCCACCAGCCTGGGACAGTGACACCAATGTCACCAAATGCCACCAATGCCACCAAACCCTGCCCAACGCCACCCGCAGGGCCACCAGCCTGGGACAGTGACACCAATGTCACCAAATGCCACCAGCCTGGGACAGTGACACCAATGTCACCAAATGTCACCAATGTCACCAATGGCACCAAACCCACCCCACACAGGAGCGCAGGGCCACCAGCCTGGGACAGTGACACCAGGGTCACCAAATGTCACCAATGGCACCCAACGGCACCAAACCCACCCCACGCGGGAGCGCAGGGCCACCAGCCTGGGACAGTGACACCAGTGTCACCAAATGTCACCCAATGCCACCAAACCCTGCCCAACGCCACCCGCAGGGCCACCAGCCTGGGACAGTGACACCAATGGCACCAATGCCACCAGCCTGGGACAGTGACACCAGGGTCACCAAATGTCACCAGGGTCACCCAATGGCACCCGCAGGGCCACCAGCCTGGGACAGTGACACCAATGGCACCAAATGTCACCAATGCCACCAAACCCTGCCCAACGCCACCCGCAGGGCCACCAGCCTGGGACAGTGACACCAATGTCACCAAATGTCACCAGCCTGGGACAGTGACACCCATGTCACCAATGTCACCAATGCCACCAAACCCTGCCCAACGCCACCTGCAGGGCCACCAGCCTGGGACAGTGACACCAAGGGTCACCAGGTGTCACCAGGGGTCATTAGCGTCACCAGCCTGGGACAGTGACACCAGTGTCACCAATGCCACCAGTGTCACCCAATGGCACCAGGGCTCATTGGTGTCACCAAATCCACCCCATGCAGGAACACAGGGCCACCAGCCCAGGGACAGTGGCACCAGTGTCACTGATGTCACCAAGAGTCATTGGTGTCACCAAACGGTGCCCAATGCCACCCCCAGTGTCCCCAGACCGTCCCCAAGTGTCCCCAGGTGCCCCCAGACCATCCCAAAGTGCTCCCAGACTGTCCCCAGGTGTCCCCAATCCCCACAGTGTCCCCACTCACCCCATTGTCCCAAACATCCCCAATGTCCCCATTCCCCCCAAGTGTCCCCAATGTCCCCCAAGTGTCCCCGATGTCCCCCAATGTCCCAAGGTGTCCCCAATGTCTCAATATCCCCAACATCCCTGATGTCCCCATTGTCCCCCAGTGTCCCCATTCCCTTCAATGTCCCCATTGTCCCCAACATTCCCAATGTCCCCACTGTCCCCACTGACCCCAATGTCCCCAACGTCCCCCAAGTGTCCCCAACGTCCCCCAAGTGTCCCCAATGTCTCAATATCCCCAACATCCCAAATGTCCCCATTCCCTCCAGTGTCCCCATTGTCCCCTAATGTCCCCTCTGCCCCCCAGTGTCCCCATTCCCTCCAATGTCCCCATTGTCCCAAGTGTCCCCAGTGTCCCCAAGTGTCCCCAATGTTTGCAATCCCCCAATCCCCCCACTGTCCCCATTGTCCCCAATTCCCCACTGTCCCCAGTGTCCCCCAATGTTCCCCCATTGTCCCCCGATGTTTGCAATCCCCCATTCCCCCCACTGTCCCCCCATTGTCCCCAATGTCCCCAGTGTCCCCCCACTGTCCCCAGTGTCCCCCAATGTCCCCAGTGTCCCCCACTGTCCCCAACTCACTCAGCCTCAGCCTCTGCCAGGCGCTGCCTCAGCTGCTCCTCGGAGCTGGGGGGACACGAGGGGGGGTCAGGAGGGCTTGGGGACATCGGGGGTCCCCAGGGGGGACAGGGGGGACAGGGGGGACAGGGGGGAGGGGCTCACCTGGGCTCCGGGGGGGCCCCGGGGGGGGCCGGGGGGGGCTCCGGGACAGCGGGGACATCGTCCAAGGGAGGGGACACCGAGAGAGGGGCCTGTGGGGACATTGGGGACATTGGGGACATTGGGGGGACATTGGGGACATTGGGGACATCGTCCAAGGGAGGGGACACCGAGAGAGGGGCCTGTGGGGACAGTGGGGACATTGGGGACAGTGGGGACATTGGGGACAGTGGGGACAGTGGGGACATCGTCCAAGGGAGGGGACACCGAGAGAGGGGCCTGTGGGGACAGTGGGGACAGTGGGGACATTGAGGGGACATTGGGGACATTGGGGACATTGTCCAAGGGAGGGGACACCGAGAGAGGGGGCTGTGGGGACATTGTGGGGACATCGGGGACATTGGGGACATTGTCCAAGGGAGGGGACACCGAGAGAGGGGCCTGTGGGGACAGTGGGGACATTGGGGACATTGTCCAAGGGAGGGGACACCGAGAGAGGGGGCTGTGGGACAGTGGGGACATTGGGGACATTGGGGACATCGTCCAAGGGAGGGGACACCGAGAGAGGGGCCTGTGGGACAGTGGGGACATTGGGGACATTGTCCAAGGGAGGGGACACCGAGAGAGGGGCCTGTGGGGACAGTGGGGACAGTGGGGACATTGGGGACATTGTCCAAGGGAGGGGACACCGAGAGAGGGGGCTGTGGGACAGTGGGGACATTGGGGACATTGGGGACATCGTCCAAGGGAGGGGACACCGAGAGAGGGGGCTGTGGGGACAGTGGGGGACATTGGGGGACATTGGGGACATCGTCCAAGGGAGGGGACACCGAGAGAGGGGGCTGTGGGGACAGTGGGGACATCAAAGGGACACTGAGGGGGGGGGTCTGTGGAGACATTGGGGACGTCAGGGGGACATTGGGGACACCCCAGGAGGACATCAGGGGGACACTGGGGACATTGAGGGACATTGGGGACACACCAGGGGGACACTGGGGCCAGGGAGGGGACACTGGGACGAGTGGGGAGGACATTGGGGGACACACTGGGGACAACTGGGTGCAGTGGCAGGGGTGGGGGGACATGAGGGGGACACTGGGGGGGACAGAGGGGACACAGAGCGGGGACACAGCCGGGGGGGTCACACCCACCTTGGTGCTGGTGTCAGGGGTGCTCCTGCAGCTGTCCCCAGTGTCCCTGAGGGTGTCCCTGAGCGTGTCCCTGATGTCCTCAGGGCTGTCCTTGCTGTCCCTGAGGCTGTCTTTGCTGTCCCCAGGCGTGGTCTCGGTGTCCCTGATGTCCCATGGGGTGTCCTTGGTGTCCCCGGGGCTGGTTTTGGTGTCCCCAAGGCTGCTCTTGGTGTCCTCACGGGTGTCCCTGATGTCTCCAAGGCTGTTCTTGGTGTCCCCGGAGGTGTCCCTGGTGTCCCCGGAGGTGTCCCTGATGTCCTCGGGGGTGTCCCTGCTGTCCCCGGCGCTGTCCCCGGCGCTGTCCCCGGCGCTGTCCCCGGCGCTGTCCCCGCGCTGTCCCCGCAGGTGCAGCACCAGCTCCCGGGCCTGGCCCCAGCGGCCCCGCAGCAGCTCCCGCTCCCCCCGGCGCTGCAGCTGCAGCCGGCGCAGCTCGTCCAGGCGGAGGCGCAGGGACTGCGTGCAGTGACACAGGGCACCTGGGGACATGGGGACAATGGGGACATCAGCAGGGACTGCGTGCAGTGACACAGGGCACCTGGGGACATGGGGACAATGGGGACATCAGCAGGGACTGCGTGCAGTGACACAGGGCACCTGGGGACATGGGGACAATGGGGACATCAGCAGGGACTGCGTGCAGTGACACAGGGCACCTGGGGACAGCATTGGGGACATCATTGGGGACATCATTGGGGACATCAGCAGGGACTGCGTGCAGTGACACAGGGCACCTGGGGACACCAAAGGGACAGCATTGGGGACAATGGGGACAGCAGCAGGGACTGCGTGCAGTGACACAGGGCACCTGGGGACATGGGGACATTGGGGACACCATTGGGGACACCAGCAGGGACTGCGTGCAGTGACACAGGGCACCTGGGGACAGCAATGGGGACATTGGGGACACCACTGGGGACATTGGGGATATCACTGGGGACAGCAGCAGGGACTGCGTGCAGTGACACAGGGCACCTGGGGACAGCATTGGGGACAGCATTGGGGACATTGGGGACACCATTGGGGACACCATTGGGGACTGCGTGCAGTGACACAGGGCACCTGGGGACAGCATTGGGGACATTGGGGACACCATTGGGGACATTGGGGACATCAGCAGGGACTGCGTGCAGTGACACAGGGCACCTGGGGACAGCATTGGGGACATTGGGGACATCACTGGGGACAATGGGGACAGCATTGGGGACACCATCAGGGACTGCGTGCAGTGACACAGGGCACCTGGGGACACCATTGGGGACATTGGGGACACCATTGGGGACATTGGGGACATCAGCAGGGACTGCGTGCAGTGACACAGGGCACCTGGGGACAGCAATGGGGACATTGGGGACAGCATTGGGGACATCAGCAGGGACTGCGTGCAGTGACACAGGGCACCTGGGGACAGCATTGGGGACATTGGGGACACCATTGGGGACATTGGGGACACCATTGGGGACATCACTGGGGACACCAGCAGGGACTGCGTGCAGTGACACAGGGCACCTGGGGACATGGGGACACCATTGGGGACAATGGGGACATCAGCAGGGACTGCGTGCAGTGACACAGGGCACCTGGGGACAGCATTGGGGACATTGGGGACAGCATTGGGGACATTGGGGACATGGGGACAGCATTGGGGACATGAGCAGGGACTGCGTGCAGTGACACAGGGCACCTGGGGACAGCATTGGGGACATTGGGGACAGCATTGGGGACATCACTGGGGACAGCAGCAGGGACTGCGTGCAGTGACACAGGGCACGTGGGGACAGCATTGGGGACAGCATTGGGGACACCATTGGGGACATTGGGGACATCACTGGGGACACCATCAGGGACTGCGTGCAGTGACACAGGGCACCTGGGGACAGCAATGGGGACAATGGGGACAGCAATGGGGACATTGGGGACAGCATTGGGGACATCACTGGGGACATCAGCAGGGACTGCGTGCAGTGACACAGGGCACCTGGGGACATGGGGACACCATTGGGGACATCAGCAGGGACTGCGTGCAGTGACACAGGGCACCTGGGGACAGCAATGGGGACATTGGGGACAGCAATGGGGACATTGGGGACAGCATGGGGGACATCAGCAGGGACTGCGTGCAGTGACACAGGGCACCTGGGGACACCAAAGGGACAATGGGGACACCAAAGGGACAATGGGGACAGCATTGGGGACAGCAGCAGGGACTGCGTGCAGTGACACAGGGCACCTGGGGACAGCATTGGGGACATTGGGGACAGCATTGGGGACATTGGGGACATCACTGGGGACATCAGCAGGGACTGCGTGCAGTGACACAGGGCACCTGGGGACATGGGGACACCATTGGGGACATTGGGGATATCACTGGGGACAGCATCAGGGACTGCGTGCAGTGACACAGGGCACCTGGGGACAGCATTGGGGACATTGGGGACAGCATTGGGGACATTGGGGACAGCATTGGGGACATCAGCAGGGACTGCGTGCAGTGACACAGGGCACCTGGGGACATGGGGACACCATTGGGGACAATGGGGACAGCATTGGGGACAGCATCAGGGACTGTGTGCAGTGACACAGGGCACCTGGGGACAGCATTGGGGACATTGGGGACACCATTGGGGACATTGGGGATATCACTGGGGACAGCATCAGGGACTGCGTGCAGTGACACAGGGCACCTGGGGACATGGGGACACCATTGGGGACATTGGGGACACCATTGGGGACATCAGCAGGGACTGCGTGCAGTGACACAGGGCACCTGGGGACATTGGGGACAGCATTGGGGACATTGGGGACACCATTGGGGACATCAGCAGGGACTGCGTGCAGTGACACAGGGCACCTGGGGACAGCATTGGGGATAATGGGGACACCATTGGGGACATTGGGGACACCATTGGGGACAATGGGGATATCACTGGGGACATCAGCAGGGACTGTGTGCAGTGACACAGGGCACCTGGGGACAGCATTGGGGACATTGGGGACAGCATTGGGGACATTGGGGACAGCATTGGGGACAGCAGCAGGGACTGCGTGCAGTGACACAGGGCACCTGGGGACAGCATTGGGGACATTGGGGACAGCACTGGGGACAGCACTGGGGACTGCGTGCAGTGACGCAGGGCACCTGGGGACAGCATTGGGGACAGCACTGGGGACATTGGGGACAGCATTGGGGACACCACTGGGGACACCATCAGGGACTGCGTGCAGTGACACAGGGCACCTGGGGACATGGGGACACCATTGGGGACATCAGAGGGGACATTGGGGACAGCATTGGGGACATCAGAGGGGACATTAGGGACATTGGTGACAGCAGCATCTGCATGCAGTGACACAGGGCACCTGGGGACATTGGGGACAGCAGTGACACAGAGTTCCTGTGGACAGCAGCAGTGACAGCAGCAGGGACAATGGGACATTGGGAGGGACACTGAGGACATCAGGGACAGTGGGGACAGTGGGGACATTCAGGGGACATTGGGCAGGTTGGGGACACTGGGCCATTGAGACATTGGGGACATCAGCAGGGACTGGGGACATCAGGGGTTTGGGGACATTGGGGCTCAGGACACTGGGGGGCCATTGTGACACTGAAAACATTGGGGACACTGTGGGGACACTGTGGGGACACTGTGGGGACACTGTGGGGACCCTGGGGTGACACTGGGGACACCGAGGATGTCGGGAAGATGAGGGACAGGAGAGGACATTGAGCACCTTGGAGACATCGTGGGGGACATCGGGGACATCAATGGGGACACGAGGGCACCCTTGGGGACACCTGCAGTGCCCCCCAGCTCCCCCCAGTTCATTCCCAGTGTCCCCAGTCCCCTCCCAGTCCCTCCCAGTGCTCCCAGTTTGTTTCAGGCTGTTCCCAGTCCCCTCCCAGTCCCTCCCAGTTCATTCCCAGTCCCTCCCAGTCTCTCCCAGTTGATTCCCAGTCCCTCCCAGTCCCTCCCAGTTCATTCCCAGTCTCTCCCAGTTTGGTTTCAATCCCCACCCAGTCCCTCCCAATCCTCTCCCAGTGCTCCCAATCCCTCCCAGTTCCCCCCCAGTGCTCCCAGTTTGATTTCAGGCTGTTCCCAGTTCCCTCCCAGTCCCTCCCCGTTTGATCCCAGTCCCTCCCAGTCCCCCCAATCCCCTCCCAATCCCTCCCAGTTGATTCCCAGTCCTTCCCAGTCCCCCCCAGTTTGGTTTCAATCCCCTCCCAATCCCCTCCAGTTTGATCCCAGTCCCCCCCAGTCCCTCCCAGTTTGATCCCAGTCCCCCCCAGTCCCTCCCAGTTTGATCCCAGTCTCTCCCAGTCCCTCACAGTCCCCCCCAGTTCATTCCCAGTCCCCTCCCAGTCCCTCCCAGTCTCTCCCAGTCCCCCCCGATCCCCTCCCAGTCCCCCCCAGTCCCCCCCAGTTCATTCCCAGTCCCCCCCAGTTCATTCCCAGTCCCCCCCAGTTCATTCCCAGTCCCCCCCAGTCCCCCCCAGTTCATTCCCAGTCCCCCCCAATTCATTCCCAGTCCCCCCCAGTCCCTCACAGTCTCTCCCAGTTCCCCCCAGTCCCTCCCAGTCCCCCCAGTTCCCCCGTTCTCACTTCTCAGCTCGCGGTTCTCCGCCCGCAGCCGCTGCAGCGCCTCCGCCAGCGCCGGCTCCGCCTCGGGCCCCGGCTGCACCATCTCTGCGGGCCGCCGCCAGCGCCCGCCGCTCATCGGCGGCTCCGGGGGCCCGGGCGCGGTTCGGGGCCGCTTCGGGGCCGAGCTCGGGCGGTTTTGGGCCCAATTCGGGGATTTTTGGGATCCCGGCGGCGCCGCCACTTCCTGCTTCCGGCGGAAGCGCGTGACGTCACCGCGCCCCCACTGCCACTTCCGCCTCGGTAAATGTCATGGCGGCGCCATAGCAACGCTGAGAGTCGGAGAGCGCTGATTGGTTACGCCTCCATGTGTAGCTCCACCCGCGCTCGGCGGTGATTGGTTGGCGGGAGAAGAAGCTCGGCGGTGATTGGTTGGTGAGATAAGAAGTTCGGCGGTGATTGGTGGATAAAGGGGCAGGGCGTGGCGGAGGGCGTGGCCTCTGTGAAGGGATGGGGAGCCGCGCGAGCGTGGGGGAGGCGGCGCGAGCGCGGCCGGAGCGGGAAGGTGCGGGGGGACCAGGAAATGATGGGGAAATTTGGGGAATTTTAAAGAAATTCGGGGGAATTCCGGAAAACGTGAGGGGATCTGGGCTATAAAATGGCCCGGGGAGTCCATGGGGGCCTGGGGGGCAGCGTCAGGAGGGAGCTGGGGGGGGATGTGAGGGGCTTTGGGGCGGAAATGGGGGGGGGGTTGAGGGGAATTTGGTGGATTTGAGGGAAATTTGGGGAGAATCTGGGAGATTTGGGGGATTTAGGGGGAATTTGGGGTCAGTGGAGGCGGAAATTGGGGGTCTGGGGGTGTCCAGGGTTCCGTGAGGGTCTGGGGGGCGTTGAGGGGGAATTGACGGGGGGTGAAGGCGGAAACTTGGGAAAATTTGGGGAGATTTGAGGGGAATTGGGGGGTCCGTGAGGGCCTGGGGGTTTCTGGGGGGATGGGGAGGGGGGTTCTGAGGGGTTTGGGGGCCCTGAAGGCGGAAATGGGGGGGATTTGGGGGCTCTGGGGGGGAAAATCGGGGCGGATTTGGGGGGACAATGGGGGGAGGGCGTGTCCCGCTCCATCTCCCCCAAATCCTGGCCCCGGGGGCCAAATCCCTCCCCTAAATCCCAGAACCCAACCCCAAATCCCACCCCTAAATCCCAGATCCCAGCCCCAGATCTCGGATCCCAACCCGAAATCTCAAATCCCTCCCCAAAATCCCCAACCCCACCCCCAGATCCCAAACCCCAACCCCAAATCCTCGATCCCGCCCCACCCAACCCCAAACCCCACCCCAAATCTCCAAACCCAACCCCAGATCCCAAATCCTGCCGCCAAAATCCCAAAATCACCCCCAGATCCCCGATCCTGCCCCACCCAACCCCAAACCCCACTCCAGGTCCCAAATTCCCAACCCCAAACCCCAGATCCCAGCCCCGAAATCCCAAATCCTCGATCCGAACCCCAAATCCCAAATGCCGCCCCAAAATCCCAAATCCTCCCCACAAAATCCCAAATTCACCTCAAATCCCCGATCTGAACCCCAAATCTCAAATCCCGCTCCCAAATCTCCGATCCGAACCCCAAATCCCAGATCCCAGCCCCAAAATCCCAAATCCCCGATCCGAACCCCAAATCCCAAATCCCGCCCCAAAATCCCAAATCCCGCCCCCAAATTCCAAATTCACCCCAAATCCCCGATCCGAACCCCAAATCTCAGATCCCACCCCCAAATCCCAAATCCACCCCAAATCCCCGATCTGAACCCCAAAACCCAAATCCCGCCCCCAAACCCCAAATTCACCCCAAATCCCCGATCCAAATCCCAAATCCCGCCCCAAAATCCCAAATCCTCCCCCCAAAATCCCAAATTCACCCCAAATCCCAAATTCACCCCAAATTCACCCCAAATCCCCGATCCGAACCCCAAATCCCCGATCCGAACCCCAAATCTCGAATCCCACCCCCCGATCCCAAATCTTCCCCCCAAAATCCCAAATTCACCCCAAATCCCCGATCCTGCCCCACCCAACCCCACAACCGCACCCCAGGTGCCCGGCCCCGCCCCCAAACCGCGGGATCCCCGTTCCTCAGGTGCCCGAGCCCGCCCCAAATCCCAAATCCCGCCCCCAAACCCCGATCCGAACCCCAAATCCCAAATCCCCGATCCGCACCCCAAATCCCCAAATCCCGCCCCCAAACCCCCGATCCGAACCCCAAATCCCCGATCCGAACCCCAAATCCCGCCCCCCAAATCCCCGATCCGAACCCCAAATCCCGCCCCCCAAGTGCCCGGTCTGACCCCCAAATCCCGCCCTCAAATCCCCGATCTGAACCCCAAATCCCAAATCCCGCCCCCAAATCCCCGATCCGAACCCCAAATCCCCGATCCGAACCCCAAATCCCGCCCCCCAAATCCCCGATCCGAACCCCAAATCCCGCCCCCCAAGTGCCCGGTCTGACCCCCAAATCCCGCCCTCAAATCCCCGATCTGAACCCCAAATCCCAAATCCCGCCCCCAAATCCCCGATCCGAACCCCAAATCCCGCCCCCAAGTGCCCGATCCGGTTCCCCAAGTGCCAGCCCTGCCCCCAAATCCCCGATCCGAACCCCAAATCCCGCCCCCAAGTGCCCCAGCCCTGCCCCCCAATTGCTTAACCCACCCCCCAAGTGCCAACCCCGCCCCACAAGTGCCCGAACCGCCCCCCAAATGCCAGCCCTGCCCCCCAATTTCTTAACCCACCGACCAAGTGCCAGCCCTGCCCCCCCCAAGTGCCCGGTCCGGTCCCCCAGGTGCCCGAACCTGCCCCTCAAATCCCCGATCCGAACCCCAAATCCGAAATCCCGCCCCCCAAGTGCCTGATCCGAACCCCAAATCCCAAATCCCGCCCCCAAGTGCCCGATCCGAACCCCAAATCCCCGATCCGAACCCCAAATCCCGCCCCCCAAGTGCCCGAACCTGCCCCCCAAATCCCCGATCCGAACCCCAAATCCCGCCCCCCAAGTGGCCCAGCCCCGCCCCCCAATTTCTTAACCCACCCCCCAAGTGCCAACCCCGCCCCACAAGTGCCAGCCCTGCCCCCCAAGTGCCAGCCCTGCCCCCCAAGTGCCCGGTCCGGTTCCCCAAGTGCCCCAGCCCTGCCCCCCAAATCCCCGATCCGAACCCCAAATCCCGCCCCCTAAGTGCCTGAACCTGCCCCCCAAGTGCCCGATCCGAACCCCAAATCCCGCCCCCTAAGTGCCCGAACCTGCCCCCCAAGTGCCCGATCCGAACCCCAAATCCCGCCCCCCAAGTACCAGCCCTGCCCCCCAATTTCTTAACCCACCCCCCCAATGCCAACCCCGCCCCCCAAGTTCCCACCCCTCCCTCCAGGCGCCCCTTCCTGCCCCACATCCCCTCCAATCCTGCCCTGGGGTGCCCGAACCTGCCCCAAAAGTGCCCGAACCCGCCCCCCAAATCCCCGATCCGAACCCCAAATCCCGCCCCCAAATCCCCGATCCGAACCCCAAATCCCGCCCCCCAAATGCCAGCCCTGCCCCCCAATTTCTTAACCCACCGACCAAGTGCCAACCCCGCCCCACAAGTGCCCGAACCTGCCCCTCAAATCCCCGATCCGAACCCCAAATCCCGGCCCCCAAGTGCCTGAACCTGCCCCTCAAATCCCCGATCCGAACCCCAAGTCCCGCCCCCAAATCCCCGATCCGAACCCCAAATCCCGCCCCCTAAGTGCCCCAGCCCTGCCCCCCAAATCCCCGATCCGAACCCCAAATATCGCCCCCCAAATCCCAAATCCCGCCCCCAAATCCCCGATCCGAACCCCAAATCCCGCCCCCTAAGTGCCTGAACCTGCCCCCCAAGTGCCCGATCCGAACCCCAAATCCCGCCCCCCAAATGCCAGCCCTGCCCCCCAATTTCTTAACCCACCCCCTCAATGCCAGCCCCGCCCCCCAAGTTCCCACCCCTCCCTCCAGGCGCCCCTTCCTGCCCCACATCCCCTCCAATCCTGCCCTGGGGTGCCCAAACCTGCCCCAAAAGTGCCCGAACCTGCCCCCCAAGTGCCCGGTCCGGTTCCCCAAGTGCCCCAGCCCTGCCCCCCAAATCCCCGATCCGAACCCCAAATCCCGCCCCCAAGTGCCCGAACCTGCCCCCCAAGTGCCCCAGCCCCGCCCCCCAAGTTCCCACCCCTCCCTCCAGGCGCCCCTTCCTGCCCCACATCCCCTCCAATCCTGCCCTGGGGTGCCCCAACCTGCCCCAAAAGTGCCCGAACCCGCCCCCCAAGTGCCCGGTCCGGTTCCCCAAGTGCCCGAACCTGCCCCAAAAGTGCCCGATCCCACCCCCCAAGTGCCCGATCCCGCCCCCCAAGTGCCCGAACCTGCCCCCCAAGTGCCCGAACCGCCCCCCAAGTGCCCGAACCGCCCCCCAAGTGCCCGCTCCTGCCCCACAGCGATGCCGGGCCCCGCGGAGCAGGCGCCGGGCGGGGCGCAGCTGAGCCGCTCGCAGGTGTGCGGGATGCTCCGGCAGGAGCTGAGCCGGGACGGGGCCTTCCTGCAGGGCCACCCGCACGTCCTCGTCATCCTCGGGGCCTCCGTGAGTGCGGACGGGGCCGGGAAGGGATGGGGGGTTGGGGTTTGGGGGGAAATTTGGGGTTTGGGGGGGAAATTTGGGGTTTGGGAGGGATAAAGGGGGTTTGGGGGCAGAAATTTGGGGTTTTGGGGTGGGTTGGGGGGCAGGAATTTGGGGTTTGGGGGGGAAATTTGGTGTTTGGGGGCAGAAATTTGGGGTGTTGGGGTGGGTTGGGGGCAGAAATTCGGGGTTTGGAGGGGAAAATAAACAGGTTTGGGGGGATTGGGGGCATGAATTTGGGGTTTGGGGGCAGAAATTTGGGGTGGGGGGGAAATAAACGGGTTTGGGGGGGTTGGAGGCAGAAATTTGGGGTTTGGGGAGGAATTGGGGGCAGGAATTTGGGATTTGGAGGGGAAAATAAACAGGTTTGGGAGGGTTGGGGGCAGGAATTTGGGGTTTGGGGAGGAGTTAGGGGCAGGAATTTGGGGTTTGGGGGAGTTTGGGACAGGAAGTTGGAGGGATTGGGGGCAGAAATTTGGGGTTTTGGGGGGAGATTGGGGCAGAAATTTGGGGTTTGGGGGGGTTAGGGGCAGAAATTTGGGGTTTGGGAAGGAATTGGGGGCAGAAAT